GACAAATGTTCTCTGTTCGTGGAAGAAAGGTCACACCTGTGGAGAAGAGCATCTACAAGACTGCTTACATATCACCTCAGTAGATGATTCCCAGGTTTATACATTTACCAAGGTTAGAAGTGGCTGAGATGTTAGATTTCTGACATTTTGTTTTGGGTTAGCTGATAGACGCGTGGAGCTAAGTCTACAAAGACAAATGCACGCAACACAGTTCTTGGTAAAATTATGCTGATGACTTTCCAAGCCAGTGATCCTCAGGAGTTTTATATTAAAAATAGACTGTCATCCTGCAGTATTTCACTTGATCATCAGGTTTTTACATGAATCATCACTTTTTTTTTTTAACATTACAAAGCACACTTCATCTACAGACCAGCTGCAGAACGCTTGCAATGGCCTTGAAAAGTGCAAGGCACTGTTTGAGGCTAATTTTTAAGGCCTGAGAGACTGAATGTACATTATTTGCTGTTTCTTCCAGCTGTTGATGTAATGCTTATTGCTCAGTAAACTTAGTAGTATGACAGTGCAGGACTAATTATCATTAGCATTTGGGTACTGCTAGTAGTTTTCTGGATGGTTTGTAAACAAATGTAAGCATATACGAGAAGATGCGAACAAATTAACAAGGCAGGTGAGATTTAGTGATGGCAAAAGCAACTTGATGCATGTAACGAGGTTACAAATTAGCTGTATCTCCGTTCTACCAAACACAGAATTAATCTATGGAACTCATTGCCACAAAATAGTAAGCTTTGAGTGGAGTCTATTGGCTGTGTATTTATATGGCTATTGAATGTCTGCAGACGTGATAACATAACCCTCTGTTCTACCCTATGGCCTCCTTGCTCAGTGCCTGGGAATTGAGAAGAAACCTTCCCCAGAAGTAAGTCATTCACAAACATCCATAGTAGGATCTGCCCCCTTTTTGCTCTGGGAGGTGTGTTATGCCTGATGGAGCATTGAGTTGTGAGGTTAAAATCAGCCTCAGTAGTGATTTAAGGAAGAAACTGGCCGCCTTAAATGCCCAGTGTGATCAATGCTGGTTGGGCTTTTGTCTGGAAGCAACTGAGAGGTGGTAGGCAACCATTTATTGAAAGTCTTGGTGCCATGAATTAGAGTACAGAGAGAAATAAAGCTTTGTTCTGCTGGGAGCAGAGGGAACCTATTTTTGCCCCTGATATTTTCTACTGGTGTGATGGAACTGTGTGTTACCCTGCAGCCCTTCCACAGAGCTGCTGAGTGCCGTGGCCAACATCAGGCTGCTCTGATGGAGATGCACATGTCCCTAGCTGCCAATTTCCCAAACTTATTGGCAGTATAAGGGAGCTGCTGATAGAAGCTCAGGACTGCTCCCTTATACTGCCAACAAGTTTGGGTAATTGGCAGCTAGGGACATGTGCATCTCCATGTGCTCTATCTCCTGAGCAGCTCAGATGCTGGATCTGAGGCATCCCTGAACACAGCACAGCTGGGCTCCTGAGTTCTCATGCTTGCAGGAGGATATGCTCTTTCTGAAGGCACGCACCCTCAGTCTGCACCCTTCTCCTTAAAATCACAAGTACTGGAATTTTCTCTCAGTTCAGCTTAGCTTACCAGGATCCCTTGTGGCCTGTCTTACTTCGTTACCTTTAGGAAGGTAAAATTGTTTTACATTGTACAGTGTATTTTTTTTTTTTTTTTAATAAAGAAAATGGGGCTGTATTGGAAGAAATCAGAAATGAAAGTAAACTTAAAACGATTTGAGTAGGAAAAACCTTTCCTTGGAAGGTGAATTGGTAAAAGGTGAACTGGTGTTTGCACAAGAATAAGTCGTTATGTCTAAATAAACAGAAGACTTTTGCTTTGTGCTGTGCAGCTTCTGAAGATTTAGAATGAAAGGGTAACTTAGCAAATTTATAGTTATTTGAATATTCATATTTAATAAGCAATGCACTTCAACAAGGCAAATTGTTGTAATATTGTGTAATAAGGAGTATTAAAAAGTAAGGATGGCTTTAATGTCATTTATCATTCACTCTTTGTAATCAGAGAAGTAAAAAGCACCAGTTACATGAAGTGATGGTGGAGGAGAGGGTGGATTGCCAGCAAGTCTGACAAACTCACACCTGCAGCAGTGATGGTGCTGGGCCTCTGATGTGAGGGACGCATAAAGGACCTCATAGTTCTGTCTGTGGTCATGGTTAACAACAGGTCTTCTGGCCTCTAGAGCCGCTGGATACCTACCAATGTGCTACTTTAAAAAACTGTCTATTTTAAACAGTGTGAATTTGCAACCCAAAATATCTGGGGATTCTGACCCTGTTTTTTCATCATCCTCCTGTGACTATGGTAGCTTCTCCAAAGTTTTTGTTATATTATGCAGCTGTAAAGGAGATAGAACGCAAGCCTTTGAAGAGGCTCACTTACAGTCACCTATCACAAACAAGTTACGAAACTTGATTAAAAAAAAAAAAAAAAAGGCAAGGCAAAAAAGCCCTCTATCTTTTATAAATTAGCAGCTTTCTCCTGCGATTTTATCAGGACTGATGAAGAGAGTTTCAAAAGTTTCTGTTCTCTTTACAGCTATCTTGTTCATTAATGAAGCCTCTCCCCCCAGTACGCAGAACTGTTGTTTCTTACTCTGCGCTCAGGAGAAGATGGTGATATTGCAGCTGTAAATTAATGTCTTCTTTCTCTTTGTTATCAGCTGGACTGTTGGCGTAGAATATAATGCAGCAAAATGAAATACTGAGGGTAGCGTGTAAACTGGTCAATGTGTTTTTCAGGCACCTTTGCCAGGAATGATTAAGTTTGTGTAGCATTTACTTGAGTTTTTATATTTGGCTGCATCTCTTTCAATTTGTCTTCCAAATCCCTCATTAAAGTTCTTGAGTGTTTAGGACTACATAATTAAGATACCATTACACTTGGTGGAGAGTGGAAAAATCCTTTAAAAAAAAAAAAATCCCATCAAGAGGTGATATTGCATTAGTATTCAATACTATTAAAGCATGTTGGAAGTGGTAAGAATGAAACCAATTCATTTTATGATACCACCTCTAGGAACTCCAACTGCCTCTCAGTGCAAGCGTGGAACTATCCCAGAACTAGACCCAATTCCCAATTGGGGATTTGAATAAGGCAACTTGAGTTTTCTGAACAATGAAGTTGACTTCCCATTGGAAAGCTGCAGTTCATGTGACAGATCACAAATTTGTTTTGTTTTGTTCTGTTCATTTTTCCCCTCCTCCCCCTTCCTTTTTAATGACGGGGTAAAGACACAGCTGCTGGCACTCATGGGATGGGGCAGATGATGATGATCTCTTAGCAGGATGGAGAGGTGTATGTCTCCAATGGGGCTGTTGCAAACAGTGTTGGGTACAAATCCTGAGAAAAAGCAAATTGCTGTATTTTTTGTATTTGCAACAAACAAACAAAAAACCCAGGATACGTTGCATTTGGAAAATGTTTATTTATAATCTGAGCCCACGTAGAATAGGCACTAGCAGAATTAAATCTTTTTCTCTTTCCTTTATATTGCCTTTTAAAATAATTGCATCCTTAGGATTTACAGTGATTTGTTCTATTGCATTTACAGTTAATTATATATTTTTGATTAATGTATTCAATTTTGAAATCGTTTGCTTAGAATATCTGATTGGGGTTTAATTTCCAAGCTATTGGTCTTCTAAGCAATGTGAGGAATTGGATTCCAGATAGTGATATTAATAGGCTTAGATGAAAAGTATTACAGTCCAAGATAATTCACTGTATTGCAATAAGTTAGTTTTATTACGTCAAGTAATACCAAATATTACATCCTAATTAAAATGAAAATGAAATCAGGTAAACTTGATTCTTGCGAAAACCACTGGCAAGAGCCAAATCCAGAGTCAGAGCTTTTAAAAGACTGGCAAATGAAAGCAGCCTAGAAATGCCAAAGGTACGTGGGCTGTCTCTGTAAGAGAGACACAAAGCGAGATGTGGAGTTCTGTCTTTGTGACTCTGGTCTTATGAAAGAATCATACATGTTGAACTGCTTTATTTCAGGCATTTCTGTTATTTTATTTAATTTTCCCAAAGTTTAGATGGCCCCTTCAAAGCCCGAGAGTTGCTAGTTTCTGAGGTTACTTTAATTTTCTTTACTTGAAGAGGTTCAGTGGCTTTAACATTTAGACAAATGGTAAGGGAAAAAAGCGTACTTTCACGTCAAGAAGAAAACATGAAACACCAAACGTACCCATGTTTTTAAATCACACCAGGTGTTTCTTTATGGTACCTGCGTAGAGTCATATCTTTATTTTCCAGGGTGACTGAATTAGATTAGATATCTGTATCTAGAGATAAAATTATGAATCTTTCCATTTCCATGAGAAACCTGTCTTTGAATTTAAATTTCTCAGTGCCCAAGCCAAGGAAAACAGAGAAGAGTATTGTTGTTCACCTTGTAGAAAGTAAGCAGGAGAAAAAAAAGGGGGGGGGGGGGGGGGGGAAGGAGTGGGCATTAAATAACTGCGTCTCAGTTACATATTATTCCCATTATTCTCAGTTACATATTACTCCCATTAATGCATTATATTCCCACATTATGAGAAAATGGCACCTAAGCACTGGTACCTTTTTTTTTTTTTTCTTCTGAACATCATTATGATTGGGCATTCCTTGAGTTCCTGGGCATGGAGAGAAGCAAAACATACAAGAACGTTCAGGTAATCGAGAAGCTAATTCAACAGCACTGCTATCTGAAGGAAACCCAGTTTCACTTTAATGAGATTTGCAGGATTTGGAACTGTTTCCGTGGTTAATGCAGTCTTTCCTCTCTACTTCAGTGCTCAGCCACTGGAGCACTGTTGGAAATCATTTCATGTTCAACTCACTAAGAATTCTCTTCTGAGAAAACCCTTTCCCAGGACATTTCTTGTCTTTCAGGCATTGCCAATTTGGTTTCTATTAAAAGGCATTGATATGCTATCTGACTTTTTTCAGGCTGAACTTGATGTTTCGTGAGCTGCTGGTTGTGGCTCACAACTTTCATGTTTCAACAGCTCTTGCTGTCTTTGCAGGTAAATCTGTTTCCTTCTGTCTTAAAATGTTTACATTGTTCTCTTGTGGTAGTCTGCTAAATGATTTCTGCGTATTTATTTTTGCTCTGGATATTTCCCCTTTCATAAGATATTATCTTTTTAGCAAAATTCATTCTCCAGAAATATAGCTGACTTCAAATGATACCAAAATGCCTTATGCTGTTCATATGTGTGAGTGTCTTGGTATAGGTGTTAAAGCTAACAAAACACTACCTTTCATAAGTAATGTGAATTGTTGTTAGTGCTTCCTAACGTGAACACTTCCTTCTGAATGACCTAAGGTGCAAAGTACACTTCAGACAGTTGAGTATTTCTAATGCAATTTCAGTACTCCTAGACATAGTCATTTGCAATTTTAAGTTAATTAATTGTGGCTCTGTGGTCAAAGAATAGACAAGCTCTACAACAGAAAGTACCAAAGCAGGTAACTGAAAATGGGAGAGTTGCATTTGCCTTTGATACTTTCCTTTGGATCAATCTAGTGACCAATAACAATCTAAATACTTGTTCATATCTAACTAAACCAGACATTCTGATTTTTCTCATTTATTTTATTTTACACGGTGTTGAGAAATCAAAAGTTGCAGTTAGTGGAAGCTGTGATAGCTCAGCATTCTTGGAAACTGGTTTCAAGGATGAGGGAGGATCTGACAGTGATGTGGCCCAAAAGCCATTGAGAAAAGATCCACCCAACATTGTTTCCTTTTTTAAGCCAGGAAAGAAATCTCCAATATAAGCAATCCTAAACTATACATTTTAATTGCCAGTTTATTGAAAAACTTGATGAAACCAAGTATTTTTGCCCCCTGGAACTGGAGAAAATAAACATTCAAAATGACTTCTGTCTAAAAGGTTTGACTTTATCTGGTCTCTCCTGATAACAAAGGAATTCCTCATCTATCGAAGGTAAGCCGTGAGAACATACCAAAAGTGTATTTCTATACATGAGTGTATATGTAAAAATATATGGGCACTTAAAATTTTGGGATAATAAAACCTTCCTGTGCTGGCAAGGTTTTCACTACTGTTGTTAAATAATGATTGCATTCCGTGGTGTGTGGGATAAATATTCCAGCTATCTGCATGAGGAAAATTTAATTTAGTGCATACAACTAGCAACCTTAGATGGATCAGTAAACAGAAGACAGCAGTCTTATTTTGTCAGTTTTTTCTTCATCATGTTTTATAATTGAATAGGTACTACAGATAATTAGTTTCCTTTATGAATTTTATTAGGTTTTTAAATCTACTGATGGGTTCAGTGTAAAGCATCTAGAAATCTGGTGGTGTTGGACTTCTTATATTTTTATCTGCTAATATATCTGATTTAAAATTATTGTGTGTAATGTGATGGAAGCATTTTTATTCTTATCATTTCTTGTCCATAAACTCCTTATTAGGTTGCTGCTGAATGGTGTGAGAGGGAGGGATGAGCTAAATGTGTTGGGCTTCATAACCTGTGGAGTGCTGACAGGCTGTCCCTGTGTCCTGGGGTTGCTCTGCTGCCCTATGGCCTCCCAGGGACATTTTGGCAGCTGTTATAAATCACAGCGGCCTTGTGCTCTTTCAGTCTTCCATCTACAGAGAACTCCAATGCAGTGCATCACTGGCTGTCCCCTTCTCCTCCTCCTCCAGACTCAAGGTGAGGAGTGCTAGGTATCAGCTGCTGGCCTTCCACCTGGCCAGAGCTGGGGCTGTCTTTTGCACTTTGTCATCGTACTGCAACACAGTGGCACTGAGTGACATGACTTAGTGGGCATGGTGGTGAAGGGCCTGTGTTTGGACTTGGTGATCTTAGAGATCTTTTCCAACCTTTGTGACTCTATGGGACTCTGTCTATGGTCTTGTCTACAGTAATACAAAATATTCGAGCTAGTTCTCAAAACAGGCTCCTTCTTTGTGGAGTTTGATCTAAACCAAACTCTGAACAGAAACGCATGTTTGGTGAATGGCATATAGAAGAAACATTGCTGTTTTACAGCTTCATTTTATGTATAATCACTTAATAGTACAGGTATTTAATATTTTCCATAGCTGTTTCAACTAGATTTCCTGTTATCTGCTGTTCTTTCTCTCCAGTATTTTTTAACTGGTTTTTCTGTTCTAAATCCCTGCAACAAGTCAGCTGCTACTTAGTGCACCAAATGAGCACAGTGTTGTACAAAACCTCAAGCTCTATCCGCAACTGAAGCTCTGTCTATCCTCAAGCACTGAACTTGCGAAGATGATCTGAATCGCTTGAGATCCAGAAAAACTGGGGGGCTGCAAAACTGTTCCTTCCGTCCTAGCGTGAGCAGGGAGGTCATATTAAAGGCCAGCAGGATCAGCTTCTTTTTCATTTAAAGCACAAAACCCCAAACCTCTCCTCAGCACACATGTTAAAAACACACATTATTGCAAAATGTTTGGTTTTAAATCTATAATCTGGCAGACGTTACGGGCTTTGGGATTTGTGGAAATCTTCAGATGTGGAATCTGCAGCATTAGCTTCTGTAGGATTTATGGTCGTTTTTGATCTCAAAGAGGAAAAAATGTTTCAGACCAGAAAATGTACACCCCATATGTTAAGGTATTATTTAGGAATTTACAAAAGGGGGGTCTAAAAAGGGACTCACAGGGCAAACAGGGACTCACTTTTTCCCTGAATCACAAACGTGTACAAATGTAAAATATGCATGCTCTAAGGGAGATAGGCATGTGGGTACCCATCAATGGCCACAATCACAGCAGCCACAGTCACTGCACTTAATAGTTCAAAGTAATGGTTAGTTCTAGGAACGTTGCCTTGTTCTGGATATGACAATTTTCTCAGGTTTCTTACTCCACTGAGAAATTCTGTTGGGTTTTGGATCAATATCTGTGTTTGGATGTCACTTTTTTCACAGTTTAAAATTAAGGTTAGGTCACATGGTTTTGTTTCAGGATCAGTGAACTCCGCATACATACATGTAACAGGAGGAATCATGGAATGGCTTGGGTTGGAAGGGACTACAAGGGTCACTGAGTTCCAGCCCATCTGCTGCAGACAGGGACACCAGCCTCCAAACCTGGTACTAGACCAGATTGCTCAGGGCCCCATCCAACCTGGCCTTGAACACCTCTGGGGATGGAGCATTCACAAACTCTCTGGGCAGCCTGTTCCAGAACCTCACCACTCCTTCGGTAAAGAGCTTCCCCAGTGATAGTGCTCTTTGGACATGAATTTTTGTTTCAGAACAGGTGTTGGATGGGCTTTGGATGATGCAGAAATATGGGCTATGCAGAACCAGTGTGAAGCTGTGCAAGCTTCTCAGAGATAGCTGAGCAGCTACAAATTGAAATGTATAAAATGCTTTCAGGAATATTCACATGAGAAATTGCTCATATTGGTCCAGCCATTAAACAGTTGGTTCTCTCAGTATCTGAAATCAGAAGGCAATGCATTTGTTATCATTTATGAGGCCTCAGCAGCAGTAAGCGCTTCCTGCAGAGCCCCAGCTCTTCCTGCAGAGTCTCTCTCTGCTCCCTTGTAGCTTGTCTGTAAAAGAACAGAAAGCAGTAACATGTTCTGCTCTATTTGACAGTCAAAGTATATAACTGGCTGCATGGCTGTGCTTTGGGAAGAATGCTTCAGGGATTTCCAGCAGCCATGTTCCTTGCAGTTCTGTTTTCTCATATTTACTGTGCATCCCTTGTGGGCTGGCTGCTCATTTGTGGCAGCCTTTCTAGCCGTCCACTTCAGGCTGCCCTTTGGTTCCTCCCCACATTTGCCAGAGTGAGTTAGAGGGCTCAGTGGGCTGTCACCAAAGTTGCTGCATTTTGGTCAGGTGCTTTCACAGAACCCACCAATTTCCATGCTGTCAGTGGTAGCAGTACCAACTAGCTGTCACCAAGTATTTAATATTCCTCTATAAAATTACTTTTTTTTTTATAGTTCTTTTTGGTGCATCCATGATGCTCCATTTTAGCTAACTTATTCTCCTTTCCCCTTGCTATTTTTTTTTAATAGAATGTGCTAGTACCATGTTCAACCTTCCTGCTTAAACATTCACAGGGCAGAAAATGATTTTGCAGGATTATAAAGTACCTGTAATATGGCTGGTGAACAACCCAAGAGTGAAAAGTGCTTTCAGGAATCAGTGCAGAGAATATATATACAAAACCAATGGCTCTCATTATAAGATGCACTTAAAAGTCCACTTTGAAAACATTTTCCCACCTCAGGTTTTTTTTTTTTTTTTTTTTTTCTTCTTCTTTGCTTACTCCCACCCTGGAATATATGCAAATTTGTGGTACTTTTTCTTGTTGCAGTAATATTACTTAAAAAAACAAACTTCTTGCATGTCCTCTAAGGACCATGGCAGAGATCCTGGTAACATTTATTGAAGTTTTCAGGGTAATTGAGCTTTGATGGAGCACAGACATAGAAATAAGCTGGAAAGCTGCCAGCAGCCATTCCTTAAGTGCAAGGAGTGCAGTCTGGGGAAGCAATATGCACCGAACGCACACAGTACAGTGAATGCTGACAGGATAAATCCCAGCTATAGGTCAGCAGCATTATCATTGTGTGGGGTTAAAACTGGGGTTTTACGCAAAGCAGCTCTAAATGGGTTTTAAAGAAATTAAAGAATGAAGAATTGCTAGATTTATTACTCCAGAATCTGTGATTATTACAGAGTTCTCCAGCTATAGATGGAGTGCTGTCCTTGGTTTCTTACTTTACTGAGGCTTTTGTTAGCTGATTTATTATTTTTTAAATTCTACTTACCTTTGTTCCCCTTCTATCAAAGGAGGACTGATCTGTTATGGCACAGGTCTGGAAATGAAGGGGAAAAAAGTGCTGTTACCACTTAACTACCTCTGAGGCGTGTAGTGATGAAGGTAGAAACCCAAGTAATTACACTGAAATCTGCTAGTCACATTTGTCACAGTTGGCGGTAAATGGGTGTGTTATTGCAGAGAGGTGGTATGAATGCACAAACTAATGCTTGGCCAACAGCGTGAGTGCTGGATGTGGATAGCATATTCAGTACCCACCTCTGCATCAGCTGATGGCTGCTGGATACCACTGCCTTTCTGGGCACTTGTTTCTCACATCAGAAAGCGGCAGGTTTTTGGCAGCAGCCACAGTCTGCGTTACGATGCTGCAAACAGGCCCCTCTTCAGGTCTGGCATGGGTTCCTGCTGCTTTCCTGCCTGCAGAAATTTGTAGTGGGCTGTGTTTCTTCATCTCAAGCACGTTGCTTTGCACAGTCTCAAACTGATGGGAATTCCATAGTAGGAAAAAAAAAGAAGGGAGGGGAAGGAGAGAAATCATGAATTCATGTAAGCATATGGCTCTGTGCAGCCTGAAACAACTGTAAATTAGAGGGTGGCACACAGCCATCACTCAGCCCCATCCCTGCTGGGCAGACAGTGCCTGACTTTGTAGGATGTGGATGGACTGAGGGTTGCTTGCTGTGCCCTCCATCACAGTTCACAGGTGGCTCCTGAGGGTGCAGACTGGGAGAAGGTGAGGCTGGAGAGAGCTCTATCCTGCAGGTGTGTGCTGGTATTAATGGGGTCAAGGCCCAGCAGAAATGCAGCAGCAGTTTTCATTCATAGGGCATTCTCCATTGACAGTTTGGAGCTGGATTAAGGCCTCTTTGAGCCATTTAGGTGGTATAAAGATGAATCCCAGAATGAGCACAACTCTTAATAATATCGCTTATTCTCACCAGGCACATTTTCTCCCCCTCCTGGCACATACACACAAATCCGGCTCTTATGATTCTTGGTTTGTAATAGCTGATGGATAATATTCTGTTTTGCTAATGCGTTTTGCCATCTAAATCTGGGTCAGGGAAAGAGGCAGGAATTGTGCTACTTGCTCTACTTGAGTTAGTAGACACAGGGACACTTGGCAAACCCTTTTCATTTCACGTCTCTTTGCCCCTCTGGAGAAACAGACCATTAATGATAACAGTCATTGCAGTTCTGGTAATGCGAGTGTAAGTCAAGATATGCTGAAGTTTCATTGTGACAAACTAATTTCAAATTATTTCTCTTGATTAATAGAGAACTTGAAGTCAGGTGCGGAAGATCAGGCATATTCTGGAGTCCTCTGTCTGCCTCTGTGCTTCCAAATAAAATAAGCCTGTCACAGTATTTCCCCTGTTGCTCTGCTCACATAAGAGAAGCTCTTTGTAAACATCTGCAAGCATCCTGCTCCACAGCTCCCTTTGAGATCTCCTGTGTTAGAAACGCTGCAAAAACTTGACAAGAAGGAGACAGTGGGTGATTTAGTATCAGCACTGCCTCCCCTGCTGAGCAGGATGTTCTCGTAGGCTTTGGTGATCCCTTTGTTTTTCCTGTCTCCACCTGTTGTATATTGCATGGGCTCTCAGGAGGAAAGAAGCCATCTTTTCTTGTTGCCGTTATTGGTTTATTCGACAGCGGGGACAGCCAGCTTCTGATCCCATGGCTGTAGCTCCACGTATTATTCAAGTGCAGCTAAATAAATATGCACTGTGGATATTCGGGAAGGAAGCGTGTGGCTCTTGTAAAGCATTCCCAGTCCCTCGTAGACGTACTTGGAGACATTTTCTTTATGGCTGTTGTCAGATGTGGAAGCAAGTGAGGATTAAAATGAACAAATATAAAGAAATTCCTTGTTTAAATGGCCAATTTTTTCTTCTAATTTTGTTGCATTGATATAATTTTGAAATCCTGATGGGGATGTTTTAGTGAGGACTGACGTACGTATAGTTCATCAAATCCAAATGGAGTATACTTCATATTGTGCTTGCTGCATAATAACATAGAGGTTTTGTCTCCTGTGTGTTGATGTGGAGGAGAAAAGGGAGATCTGGTACTATTTCAGTAATTTCAACACATCCAGGAAGAAAGGAGAAGAAAAAATTCTCTATCTATTTGTCAGGCACACCTGGCTCCTGCACTAATTTCCTTTAATATAGGTACTCGTTTGCACAATATGCTGTTGCATAGTCTTTTATGCATGCAATTTCAGGCTGCAGACAAAAGGTTTACTTTGGGACTGCTGCTCAGCTTAGAGTTATGCAGCATTTCTCTATGCAATTTGCATAAAAATCAGGCAAACTTCAGAATCAATGTTTGCATTCTGTAAATTCTCCTATGCATGAATTTCACGTACTCCAAAAAGCCATTTGGGAAAAGCTCCTTTGGTGATGTAATGGAAAAGCGTCACAATGACTGCATAATGTTTGCTGTGTACCGGTCAGTAGCACGGCAGGCAGGCTTGAGGGGACCAGATCAGTTCAGTGTGTATTAGTTCACATGCCCTTACTTAGTGTTAAGTTATAATGTCTTACAGTATAACAATGGCATGGCTGCATGAGGAAATGGAGACTGTATTTGCATACTAACAATAAGAAGGGATATAAACACCATTTCACAGAAAGGCAGAATTAGGAGCCAAAACAGTAAGTGTAAATTAAGTGATTAGATTCATTACTACCAAGCCATCTAGGCTTGCTTCTCATTGGCAGGGTCTGCTAGCCCGCTTTTTTTGCAGCAGGGAGAAATACACTAGTCCTGTGCAGCCTGTTATGTTTCCTCCCACCTCCTGAGAGGTGCCTTTGGGCATTTTACAGGGCTTGGCTGGGATTCTAAGGTATGAGCTTTCTCTTGCTTCGTGGGAAAATCACAAAGTATTCTGTGGTAGCCAGAGGCAGAGGAGAGGATCAAAGGTGTCTGAAAGAAAGCTTGATGCTGTCACTCATCAGAGAGAGCAGAGAGCAGGAGCGTTGTTGTCCCCTGGCTTCTGTTGGACTACCTGGTCTCTATCCGGGTTGTTGTTTGTTTTGTTGTGGTTTGCTTTTCTCTTCATTAACAAACAAACAATGTCTTTTACTTGGGAAAGGTTGATCAGCTGGCATAGCTTTATAGTGCAGCTCGATATGTTCTTCGTTTATCTTCCTTCGTAAGCAAATAGCTTTTTTTTTTTTTTTGCCTTTTTTTTTCCCATCAAAGTATTCTGTGTTTTCTGCTTTTCTGCTACAGTACTTTCTACAAGCATCTTCATTTGCTAGAGTATTACAGAAACCAAACATAAAAGCCCACCAAGGCAAGCAAATTCAGCATTCTGTTTGAATGAATGTTTACAGACCCTTTAAAATGAGTGTTTACTATTTTCTAATTCTCTGTGTATGGTGAGTCTGTGGAAACTGTTCATACATCAAAACTAATCAAACCTTCTAGTATAGCTGGTGAATTTACTGGCTATAAGAAGAAGCAGAGCTGCAAAGGTCCTGCAGAGAGACAGCATGTATGTCTGTGCCGTCTTGCCACTCTGACCTCAGAACAACGTATAGTTTTCTAATGGAGTAGCTGGTTAGCAGTTCCCAAGAACTGTAAGGATGAGAGTGCAATGGATTGGGTATTTCTTAGACTCTGAAACTGGGATCAAGGAAGGGTGTCCCATATGTAGAGGTTCTGCAATAGCTACAATGGAGACATGGCTGGTTAGGGATTCGTCTTAGCTCATAGACCATTCCTTTAGGTCTGTGCATGTTTTGTGCTATAATTTGTGCCCTGTATCTGTACAGGGTGAGGATGTAGATAGACCATTAAGGGGGGAGTACAAATTGGGGTCTTCCTTCTCCCAGAGGTTGGCTACTGTGTAGTAAAATTGGGTTCAGCTGAGAATGAACGAGATCCAAGCTTTGCTTCTGAGAGTATATTTCAGATACGTGGTGCCTGTCATTTGGGAGTTATTGAAGGTTGTGCTTCAGCCTGTGCAGTGTTTGTATTGGCAGCATCAGCTTGAACGCCTCTAATGAATGATACCAGCCCTAGATGAGGCCCTGTTTTCCAGTCTTTTCTTTCAATAGTACTGATAACTGCGATAAAGAAAGGAGTTGAATCATCTTCCTTGTCAAACACAATGGCTAACATCTTGTTGTCATTTTCCCAATATTCATTGCTCTTTTGACTTTTTCACTCTCCCTCTTAAACTTGTGTTCTTTTTTTTTTTTAGTGTTGGCTTATATATGCATTATTATTATTTATGTAAATATTATATGCACATATATGGCTACATCTGGCTTAACTTCTGGAAGAGCACTTGAGGTGTCTGCTACTATCAGTCTCTCTCCTATTAAAACAGCTCAAGATTCTCTGCAGATAATAATTCTGTACCCATGAGAACTCATTTTCATTTTATTTTGAAATGAAAACAAGGAGAAGAGGCACTGATTTGGATTATATTGATTAAAATTTATTTTCCTTCACTAAAGTCAAATAGGGTTTTCTCACAATATTAATTCTGTGATGATTCTGATGCTTCATGTAGGAGGACCACAAGAGAAAACAGAGTATGGAAAGATGCAACGTCAAATCCAATATCCTTAATAGATCTTCTCCATTCCAATAATTCCTAAACGTATGGAGGTAAATTTGTGGAGCTAAACTTTCTTCTAAGTATCAAAATTTCTTTATTTATGCAGAGAATTGGCTAGACTCCTAAATAGCTTTCTACCATTTCTTATTTGATGGCAAGCTACAAAGCCCCCTCATTTGTAGGGAAGAGAAAATATTTAGTCCACAAAATTTAGTTCAAAAAATCTAAAATTTGAAAGTTTTTTCTGACAAGTTTTGCATCAATTGGATCTTATAGCTGCATTTTGATGTTCAAATTGGCAAAAGAGGTGAAAAGAGGAGAGGAAGAAGGAAAAGTTAGATTGACCAGTAGAATAAAAATAAAATACTTGGGATATCTGGATATTGAATTAAATGTAATTTAGTTTCACTTTTTCTCCATTAATGTTTTATGACTTACTCTGACATTACTGAATGTAGAGGAAGGGCTGTGAGTATTTTTGAGTGAGTTCTACAGTGCGAGTTATAAATTCTTATCTTTGCAAAGGTCACGGAGTCAGGACTTTCTCACAGGGGCACCCTAATATTACTTGTGGAGGAACTTGAAATAAGGAATGGGAGTAAAAATAACTTACTTGACTGTCTCAAACATAGGTTAAAATATGAGTCCTTCTGCTACCATGTGTAGTACAATATGAAGAAAACCAGTTTGAAATCATTTGCAGTTACCTAAGCAACACAAGCTCACATCAATAAAACATCAGGCAGAACTTTGTTCTTTTACAAGCCTTAAATTCAGGGTTTTTTGTCCCTTACGTGGTCACTGAAAGGGAAGAGAAGATGGAGCATTTTAGTGAGAGCATATTTTCAATGTCTTGTCAGCTGAAACTTGAGCTTGCTGAGATGTATCACAACTTCAGCCTCCGGCTTTACCTCCAATTTTAGTGTGATTGCAGATGAATTGTAATTGTACCATGGCAGCAGTGAACTGCCTGGTGCCCGGGTCTGTGTGTGAACTGCCTGATGCACTGCGCTCCAGTCTTGTAGCTCCAGCAGGAGCATTCAGAATGCAATTTTGGCGTGGAGCACCAAAACTTTCCTCTATGCTGGAGGTTTGTTTTCCTGAAAAAGGCACTGTTTTCAATGGAGCCATTACCTTTCTTCCGTCAAGAAAAAAACCTTAGACTAAGTGCTTGCGGAGGAAATGGTGCAAATGCAAGGAAATATGCTTTCCACATTCTGAAAACAGGCATAAAATCAAGATTTCAGGGTTAGTCTTATGCTTTTAAATCCAAAAATACAATCAACTTCATATATTATTTCTGATGAACTTATTAAGAGCGAAATAAAATTTGAGTTAATTAAAAAAAATGCTTGATGCTTTAGCAAAGCACTGTAGAGCCACTGGTGGTAGAATTGCTGAAAAAGTAATAATGTCTCATGATTACATGCTAGTGTTCTCCAGCTGTGCTGTTTTCACCACACTGCTAGGAGTAGATGCTTTGTTTTCTCTGGGGTGATACAACCTGATTTAAAAAGGAAGTCATAAACTATAACATATAATACTGAGAAATAAGGTTATTAAACAAATTAGCAGACAGTAAAGCTGCTGAAGGTTATTGGGTCTATAAAATTAGAGAGGAAATGATATTTGTTGGCGGTTGTTTTATTTTTGGTGACCGAGGACAGCAAATTCAAATGGTGTAGCTATAGGATTCTGGTTACTTCTAAGGAAGCATGAGTGCTTTTATAAAAAATATGCATTTGACAGAAGTGCAG